GCACACAGCCGACCTGCACCCTGGAGAAGGACAGTATGAGTTAATCCTCACTGTCAACTTGATTGGATTGAGAGATGCCTAAGAAGTTAATAAAGCACACTTCTGGGTGTCAGTGAGGGTGGCTGCAGAAATGATAGGCATGTGGATCAGCAAACTGAGGAGACCCCACCCTGAATGTGGGGGCTCTAATGGAATAAAACAGAAGCAAGCGGCAAGCCTATTAGCACAAGATTTCTGTCTCTGCTTCCTGAGTGCCGGAAAGTGATCAGCTTTCCTCGACATGTCCTTCCACTATGATGTTTCTGCCTTGGAGACACCCAACCATGGACTGAACCTGTGAGCCAAAATAAACCTTTCCTCCTTTCTGTCACCATGAGGTATTCTGTCACGGTGAAAGAAAGCTGATTAACAGCTGCCTGGGAGAGGACTGGATGACCGGAGTGAGGTCATGGCTGCAGCAGCTGTGTGACATGCTCTGTCCAAGGGCCACCCTCACCCTGAACTCCAAGGGGCGGACCACTAGAGACTGTTCCCCCTGCCCCCAGGGCTTGCTTCCTCTCTGGCTTCCCCTTGACTTTGGCCAGAGGACGGCTCTGGCAAGAGACCTGCACAGGGGAGGAATTGGAGGTCAGGGGCTTCATCTCTCTCTACCCCCACTCCCTCCGTATTGGCTCTAGTCTTGGAAAAGGCTCTCTCTGTCTGTAACCACAACTCCTCTGAATGGTTCATGGGCTCCAGCTGTCACCAGGCTCCTCTATTACTCTTCTGCCCTTGCCCTACAAGGCCCATGGCCAGTAAGGAATTTCCAGCACTGCTAATCTCTGACACTGTCCTCTTAAACCCATGCACACTTCTAGAGAGATTGCGTTTTTATAGGTTCTCCAGAGTACCAGTTGAGTATGTTCTTTTCCAGAAGGACCTTGAGGGATACAGCCCAGACCAAGTTGATTTCAACTTCCACATCAATTCTGAGAGACAGGCAGTACACTGTATATCAGAAATATCCTGTATGGGGAGAACCTGAGCTATGTCCAAATTCAACAAGGAAATGCGCTGGGATTAACTAGCAATGTCCGCCATGGGCATTAGAATGCTTGGGGTGGTGCTTGTAGCAAGCACTTGTTATTCTAGTCTGGTGTTTCCTTTGGTAGAATGAAGAAAGAAGCTGGTCAGATTTTATCTGGAAGGCTCCCCTGATGATCTTTCTTGTTTGTTTGTAGTACTGGGGATTGAACCCACAGTCTTTGCACTGAACTACATCCCCAGCCCTTTAATATTTTAGGACAGGATCTTGTTCAATTGTAAATCCCCTAGGCTGGCCTAGAACTTGTGTTCCTCCTGCCTCAGCCTCTCAGAGTGCTGGGAGTATAGGCCTGTGCTACCATGCCCAACTCCTCTGACCCAGAGAGCTAGCTCTATTGAACAGGGCTGGGCTGGAACAGTGGTTCCCACCATGTGGTGGTCGTGCCTGCCACAGACATCTGGCAATGCCTAGAGACATTCTGCTCGTGACACACAACTGGAGAGGAGGTGCTGCTGGCAGCTAGTGGGCCAAAGCCAGGACAGCTGCTAACCATCCTGCCCAGCATGTGACAGCCCCACAACATAGTCATCCTGCCCGAGGATCAACAGTGCACCGATGACACCTGTCCAGACTCTGGTCTAGAGGAAGCATGGCAGGCGGAGAGGAGCATGGAGGGAGAAAGAGCACAACACAGTTTTGATGAGAACAATAAATAGACAAGAGATGGACCATAATGAGAAAATGAGCCGCTCAGTGTGGCAGAAAACTGAGAGGAAAAGCAGGTCGGTAAACCTCGCTGATCGTCTTTCTTCCTTTGTAAAACAGGGACAATGTTATCTGCCCTCCGGATGATCAGTGGATGAAAGGAAGTGTGGACAGGCTCTGTTGTCTGCCCTGATAAAACAATAATGTACAGATCATTATCCTAACCTGCTTCAGATTCAGTTAAATATTCCAGTTTTGAGTAGAAAAGCACTAACTCCCAGCTTTATTTAAGGGTCACTTAACCCCGCAAATCACACTTCCTGATCTGTAAAATGGGGCTAAGCATTCACACCCGAGTCCACAGGAATATTAAGCACGAATGAGACATTTAATCCCGTTCAGCAGCCATGTGTGTGCGTGTCTCTCTCTCTGCACTCAACAGCTAACCCAGCTGCACTCTGTGAAATGGAAACTCCGACCCCAGCTGTCTCTGAGAAACAGCTGAAACTGTGCTCGGTCTTTGAAAGTTGGAGACACGATTCCTGAGATCTAAACCTTGAAATTCTTGCTACCCCCAACGTGAGTACAGGCCACAGACATGGGCAACCCACTTGGCCAAATCTTGAGGATTTTTCCTCTGCTGCTAGAATCTATAGTTTTTTAAAATAATAAGTAAGCATCAGACAGAAGCACAGTACATAGAGCAGAAAAGAAAAATTACAGAGCTGGGTGAGTCATGGGGGTGGGAGTGATTCTGATGAAACGTGTGGTGTGGAGCTGATGGTGCGCTGAACTCTTTAGACTGGATGGAGTGAGAGACAGAGGGAGGGAGGAAGGAAGGGAGGGAAGGAGGGAGACTGGCACCTTCCTTGATGTCCAAGCACCATGTTTGTGTCATAAAGTTCATTTTGGTTCCTTCTATTCAAACCAGACCTGAGATTTCACCCTTTCCTCTTGGAGGTGGATGGAAAATGTTTTGGGAGTGAGAGTAACAGGGATGATTGGAGAGCCTCAGGCTGCTTCCTGAGCCAGCCAAGGCAGTGGCTGCCCTTAACCCAGGGCTGCCCTTGCAGGATTGTGTGTCCTTGAGCAAGTTGCTTCTGCTCTCTGTGCTTCATCTGCACCATACATAAACATAGAGTGGATTGGGCAGCACTTGGGACCCGGTATTTGTCTCAAATCCACCTCCTCCATTTTTCAAACAATTCGATTCTGTGTAATTTCAACATGAAAGTCGTGCCATACACCACAGCAACCAAACCCCTACTTAAAATGGACCCTGCAGATGATGTTGTCATCTCTAGGGACCAGTTACACCAGGGCCCACAGGAGGCCCACTCCCGTGGTTGTAGAGGCAAATCCCGAGATCCCACCTCCTGGCTGCTCAAGGCAAGTCTCTCCAGCTGGGCCCTGGTTCTCATCTCTAAATGACAACAAAGGATGAACTTAATCAAATCTTTGCAACAGTCAGATCCCAATGAAACACCATGCAAGTTTTCCACACTGGTGACAATGCGATGTGACAAGCCTTGTGCCATGCAGCAGTCCTCTGTCATGCGATCTCCCACCAGAGACAAGGTAGCTAGGTGCATACCAGGACCACCTTGAAGGGTTTCATTGTGCCTGTTACTGGCCCAAGTCCCCCAGGAGTGTTCAGTGGGCCTGAGATGCCCCTCCCCAGGCCAGCTAGCTGGAGAGATCAATGGCTCACACTTGGACAAGCGCCCCCACATGGTGGCTCCTGAGATCTTTGAGAGTCCCACCAGCCTCAGAAGCTGAGGGGACACTAAGCTTCCAGTGGGGAAGGGACATGTGCAAGGTCACAGGGTCAGCAGAGCCCAAGCCAAGTGATTCAAGGTGACCAGGCCCATGTGCAGGTAGAACCAAAATCCTGTTAACTGGTGGCATGCAGCCCTTCAAAAGCAAGGACCAGGAGCCTGTCTCTTGTTTTACTTCTCAACTTCCTTTCTTCCTCCACTATTCTTTTTCCTCCTCTTCTTTTCTATCTTTCTTTCTTGTTTTCTTTTGGTACTCAGGACCTTTGCACTGAGCTATATCACCAGCCCTTTTAATTTTATTATTTTGAGACAGGGGCTCACTAAGTTACTGTGTTGCCCAGACTGAGCTTGAACTTGCAATCCTCCTGCCTCACCCTCCCAGTGTCTTCTTTTTCTTTCTCCTTCTCTTCCCCATTCATTCTCTTTCCTTCTCACCGCAAATCCAGTCTCTGCTATTACTTTCTAGAATTCACCCATATCCTAAGCTCACACAGGGCCCTCCCTGTCTGCTCCCACCCTCTTCAGGACACACCAGGCACAGGATGATACTACTTAGCTCAGCAGTGGAGACAGCATGCAGGGCACCTTCATCCCTATGGGACACTCAGCCTCCAGGAGCTGTACCCCAAACAAGGCAAGTGTCTTCTTGGGTGGCCACAAACTAAAAGTAACAGCCTAGAGTTCCAGGCCTGCAGGACAAAACCCCAGATCCTGCCCATGTGGGTCAAGCCCAGCTCAGGTATCTCAGAGACACCTGGGAGGTTCCTAGGCTCTTCTCACCAGCCACCTCCACGGGAAACCCTCAGAGAGACTGTGGCCCTGAGGCCTGCCGCAGTGAAGCCTTCAGACTTCTGGAAGGCAGCCCCATGTTACCTGCCAGCCTGGCCACTGAGACCTGGCCACTGAGACCTAACGGGTGTGCCACACGAAACACCTCCTCTCAAGGAAGTGCCGTGTGACACTGGAAACTTCAGCCCTGAGGCACACCCCTCCCCCACTACTCTTGCATGCTTTATTTGAAAATTAAAAACCATTAAAATTAAAGATGACACTGAGCAGTACTGAAAATATGAAGAGGGAAGAACTGAGCTGCCTGATACCTAAACCAGTGAAGCAGAAATCACTAATATTTTAGAAGAAACATAAATGCTGATGTCTGCCCGCTAAGATTTAGCAGTAGAGGTTAACTCAGGACTCTGGGCATATTTTTAAAAATGATTAGCAAACAGTTAGGTCCCCAGGAAAGTGATCAGCTTAAAAAGTATCCACTCAGCCCAGCATTGGATTGTAAAATAGTCTTGTTTTTCAGAGTTTTTCACAGGAAGTAGGCAAAGGGATAAGGCCTCGGAAGCCTTCAGCAATAGAAAAGCTCAAAATATACCAACTGAAAGGACCCAGGGCCTCCCATCTTGGCCCCTAAAAGCCCAGAAAATTAAAACTTTCCCATCCGCTCCCAAGGTCCCTATTGCAAACCCCGCCGGACAATACAGTACCTGGTAGCTGCGGGTCCAGCGAATAACTCCTACCCAAAAGTTCTCCCCAGGTAGCCACAAAGGGACCCCAGTCAGCCAAGAGAGCCGGGGTGACAGAGAAATGTCAGGAATACCCTCCCTAAACGCTCATACACATCCCCTTCCCTTGCTGCTCTGCTCGGCCCGGCCCCCACCCTCCTCCAAACCAATGCGATCACAGCAGCTGTGCCTACAAGTCATTTCTAAAATTAGCCCGTGAGCTCCAGGTCTGGCCAGGAGACGGCAGCCTGGGGTGGCTGCTGACCAGCCAGTGGAGAGCATGGACATATTTGGTGGCACATTGCAGGGGAGGGGACAGCTCCGGACGCAAGCACATTCCCAGGCTTCATCTCTGTTCCAGAGCAGGCCACACACCCATGCTCCCGCCCCTGGCCATATGGAAACCCAAAGCAGCCTGGCTGAACATGGAGGAAATAACTGGGAGACAGAGCTGGTGGCTGTGGGTGAACACCACAAATGAATGTGCCTGATGCAGATGAGCACACCTCACACAACCGGCAGCCAGCAGCAAACTCAATTAACCATCCTGATAACGCTGTAAAGTGGGCTTTTCTCCCAGCCCCACTTTACAGAGGAGAAAACCAAGGCACGAGGAGGTTAACCAACCTACCCAAGGCAGTGGAGAGCTAGGGCTTGAATCCAGGCAATGCTGCCCCTAGAAGACTGATACAGTCTTAACCCTGACACTAAACTGGATCCTGTAAAAAGTGTTTCATCCTCAGGGCTAGAGGTATGGCTCAGGGGGAAAGCATGTGCTGAGTATGCTCAAGGCCCAGGGTTCCAGCCCTAGCAATTATTTTTTTAAAGAGCTTTGTCCACTGCCTAGAAGGAGGAAAAAAATCAGAGACCAGTAGACAGAACAAATCGCACAGATTCACATAGCTAGTGGGAAACAGAATCAGAACTCTGGCTCCAAAGACACAATTTTAGCTGAGTGTAGTGACACACACCTGTAATCCCAGGAGTAGGAGGAAAGACGATCGTAAATTCAGTCCTGTAGCGACTTACCATGAACCTGCCTCAAAAGAAAAAATTAAGAAAGGAATGGCGATGTACCTCAGTGTAAACATCCTGGGTCCAATCCCCAGTGTTGCGAAAGGCACGATCATTCAAATATGGCGCACTGCTTCCCTAAGAATCATTCCCACCATTCCCATTTGCTGTTGCCCTGCCTTCCTTGTGACTAGCAGGGCAATAACTTCCCAAAACATGCATTTTCTCCTGAGCCTGCAGAAGTCACTGGAACTCTAACAGAAGCCTACTTTAGATACAGCTGTCCATCCACACAGGAACCAGGAGACTTTGAGGGCTCTGGGGCCCAGTGGAGAGTGGTGTTATGGTTCATAGCTAACGTGTCCCTCAAAAGTCTCCTATGTTGAGAGGTGGGGCTTTTGTAAGGCGACTGGATCATGGAGTAGTACGCTAGTCAGTGGATTCATCCACTGCTGAGTTCATAGCTGACTGTGCTTTCTCCAGATGTTTATCTGTCAGTCTACCTGTCCACCCACGACCAGTCTGCGGCCTCGTGGTTAATTCTTGGCGCTCAGTAGGTCTTCAAGGGGTCTTTGGTACATGGAGTAACAATGAACGATAGCCTATGTCTGGAACACGGAGGAGGGAGCAATCTCTGAAGAAGAAGCTTTCCATGCAACCCATGCTATAACCAGAAGGCTGCAGGTCTGCACAGAGCTCTGGTAATGGGGGGCTGGGGCAGGGAGGGCATAAGCCTTGGAGCTGGATCCAGTGCTGGCATTTCTTCACTGTTTGCCTTGGGGAAATAGCCCCATCTGGCTGGGCCTCAGGGTTTCTCTCTGTAAAGTGGGATCCTTATTACACTGTTCCGGTCCATATGACATGTAGACACTCAGTGGGTGTTTGTTGAGTGATAGAATGACCCCAATAGGTACTGCATTTCCCCCCAAATAAGGCCTAACTAGAAAATAAGCCCTTGCATGATTTTCCAGGATGCTTGTAAGATAAACCTTACCCCACAAATAAGCCCCAGTTAAGATCATCAGCCAGGGGAGCCAGGTGTGGTGGTGCACGCCTGTAATCCCAGCACTTGGGAGGCTGAGGCAGGAGGATGGTTGCAAGTTCAAGGCCAGCCTGGGCTATAAAGTGAGCTCAAGGCCAGCCTGAACTGCATAACGAGACCCTGTCTCAAAAAAACAAAAAAACAAACAAACAAAAAAGATCGTCAGCCAAACAGACATATTTAGTTTGCCTGTTACAACACATGACAAATGTATTGAATTATAAAATAACAATAGTAATATATAATTAAGTATACATAAATAACATTATTGACATTAATACTTAAAAGAAATGATAATACAAATTTTTTATTTTAAAGAGAATTTTTAAAAAAAGAACAATAGCGAAATGCCAAAACATAGACAAAAACAAAACAAAGCAAAAACAGTAAGAACAATACAGGGTTTCAGAACAAAATGATAGGGATTAATGATAATATAAATTATAATTAAGTATTTATAATTATTTCAAATACCCAAGTGGGTACATTTGGACAAGAGGTAAACGCTTAAGTAAACAGATGAACTGGATATTTATTGCCCAGTGACCAACCAGAGTACAGACACAGCACACAAATAACACATGCACTTGATATGGAACGGACATAGTTGTGTCTAATATGAATCTTTGTAATTTAATATGTCTTGTGTTGTAACAGATGCACTTAATGCTCTTGGGTGAAATAAAGAAACATCTGAGCTTTGGTGCTTGCAATTGTTGGTTGCTTTTGTGTGGACCATCATTCTTAACTCTAATCATTTTTGTTGCCGCTCCTATCTCCTAAGTCTTCAATTAACACTTGACTTAAGAGAAATTCTGTGAAGCGTAGCCTGCAAGAGGTTGTGGCTCAGGTGAAGAATTCATGGGATGAAGTCTCTGACAGCTGCATTGCCAGTGCACTAGGAGCAGGCTACATGAACAGTAAGTGCCCCTTTAAGGAGAGTTCTGTTACTGGACATGAAAGCTTGAGGCCAATGGTTCTACTGGAAATGGAGTTGCAAGAAATTCAGGCCAGAATTTGGGGCTCAGAGAGTTATGACAATGTTCCAGAAGAAGAAGACATGACTGTGCTTGAATAAATGTAGATTGTTGCACATGAAAAGATAAGACCTTCCTTGAAAATAAGTCCTATTATGTCTTTTGGAGCAAAAGTTAATATAAGACCTGGTCTTATTTTCAGGGAAATGCAATATGAAAAGGCCTTTCCCTTAATCAGTGCAGCCTGCAGAGGGAAGCTGCTGCTGAACTTTTAGTGGTATTGGTGCCAGCTCCCCAGGTGGCCTTGGAGTGTCCTCTTGGCTGCTAGTGGGTTTTCTGGTCTTATTTAAGATGTTCCCTCAAGCATACCCATGTCCCTGCACTCGTTAGTCCCTTCTTTTGCTGTCTACCACAGGAACTCCAGCATCTCAAGTTCTGTGCTTCATCTAGGCTTTGCTGTGCTTGTAGAAACCAGCTTGTATTCGGTTTGCACCATCTCCTAGTGTCCTTGCCTGGGACAAGATTGTAGCTGGAGAGATCAGTTCCAAACTGATAAATTCTGTCTTATCTAGCCTTTCTGCTCTCCTTGTTCAAATACCCTCTACTTTCAGTCCCACATTTTGTCTCTCTGCTCCTACAATCCATCTTTGGAGCTTGCCTCATCAGGCCACTGAGTCTTGGTTCTGACCCTCAGTTTTCTTTGCTTCACACTACAGCTGGGGCTCTCCTGTATGCCACCTAGAGGTCCTCTAGCTTTTACACTTAGCTTACAATTGGCCATTCATGTCTGTCTACTTTTTAGTCTTTTTAAAGAGCATCCATCAAACTTAGCAACACCTAGTCAGTTCCATTGCCCTGCATGTACTACTTATCTTCCCCTTTGTCTCAAATGCTTGCTGTGACCTGCCAGCCAATCATTCCCCTCCACTAGTATTCCATTCCAGTCCACTCCTACTGGAAGTTTAAACCCATGTGCTTCCCCAGGAATCAGGGACTAATCAATGTTCTACCTCTTCCTCCAGTTACAGCACTGACCTGGCAGGGAGTGCTCCAGCTCCCCAGTTGATCTTAGCCTTGGGTTTCTCTGGCCACGGCTGGTACCAGTAGCTGTGCCCTGGGTTCCCTGAGTCTAAGATTGGATCTGGTGAGTAGATGTCTATGAAGGAATGCCCTTGGGATCAACATCCACTGAGGGATGGAGGAGGGTGGGGATCAGAATTGGGCAAAGGGAAATGTCCACTTGTGATGAAAACACAGAGACTACCCTAGCCAATCCACTGTGACCCCTGGAGCCCAGTTTTCCCAAGTTGTGACAAAAAGGTCAAGCTTCTATATTTCCATGTCAACCAACTGTTGGACAGGGGCCACCCCAAGAAGGGCATGAGATTAGGCAAGGTGGCTCTCTGTAACATCCTTGTAGAAGGTGACAGCTGACAGCCACTTGAAGAAAGCACTCAGCAACTGAACCAAAGAGGATTGGAAACTTCCAGTGACAGCATCCATGATCCTGGCCAAGGTCAGCCATGACAAGGTAAGTAACTCACACATGTCTATAACCTGTGCCATCACCAATACCCAGAACCTAGGTGGGTGTGGACAGCCCCCTTGGCAAACTGTGGCCTTATAGCCATAATTCTTCTCACCATCACCCTGCACCCACCAGCACTGCCAAGGCTGTGGTCAGAGTCATTCCTGAGCTGGATGGGAAGCCCAAGAGGATGGCATCTCCTGTTCCTGAGCCCACTACAGAGCTGATGTGCCATCTAAAAAAGTATGTGGAATACACCAACATTAAGATGCTATCAGATTTCCAATTTGAAATTTTTGTCTTTCTGAGAGAACTAATACCTAGGATATGTAAAGGACTCAAAAAAAAATCAGATCCTCAAATTTAAAGACCCAATCCAAAAATAGGCATCTGAAATGAAAAGACAGTTCTCGGATGAAAAAGTACAAATGGCAAATAAGTTCATGAAAAATGCTGAACATCACTGATTATTTGAGAAATGCAAATTACAGCAATGCTGAGGCTCCAGCTTACTCCAGAAAGAATGGCTATCATCAAGAAATCAACGAATAACAAATGCTGGTGGGGCTATGGGGAAAACGAACACTTCTCCA